TGAGTTTTCGCTCTCTGATGTGGGGCAGGAAGTGGAATTGAAGGGGGGTCAGAGTCAATAAGGAACTTAGTGTGGAGGGTTTCATTCCAGTATTTTCCAGAGGGAATACTCTGCACACACTCACCTGCAGATGAGAAAAGCTATTTTTCTTTTGTGTCCTACAGTGGAGCACCCCTCTACCCATGTGGCCAACCAAGTATAACTAGTTGGGAAGTTCCTGGTTCTGCCTGATTTTCCTTGCTTTTTTCTTCATGCACGTTATCCTGACATGTGAAGGGAATGAGACATGTTTGCAGAGAACAGGTAACCCGGCTCAGCATGGCCTGGAACGGAATCTCTCTCCCTCACTAAGGGGCAGTGCTATGCAAAAGGATGGAGAAGTGCCAGGCACACAAGGAGCGCAGACGAAATGGTCGGTGCTATTGTTCTCTCTCTAGTCCCAAGGATGCTGCCGCCTTTCTTCCTCCTAGCTTGCCGATGAGTAGGCACTGTGTCCTCTCATACCCAGATGTGTTTGGACAAAGTGTCTGGATCCAAGGCGGTTCCCCGGTTCCATTTCTGCACTCCCGAAAACCTAGGGCAGGTAAGAGGCATTTGAAGTTTTCATAGGTGCTTTGAAGTACCTCGGCCAGGTAAACACTGTCATCACAAACAACCTAGCTTTTAAGGAAGGTGCCTGGAATCCTAATTACTGCCTCCAAAAACTTTCTCCTCATGGCAGCCACACTGTTGCTTGGTGAAATTTCATTCAATCAGCGTTCTGAACACAACCCAAAGCAAGCTGTTTACAAATGGCCTTTCCGCGCAAAGGGGAGAAAGCTCTGAGCAGTTCTTCTTGGAAGAAGCTGAGATGCAGCTCCTGCCTCCGCTGTTTCACACCACTCACTTGACTTCCTGCTGTACTGCACAGTCCCAGACACAGACAGAGTAAGAGGTCAATGACTGCTCAGTGTCTTGTCCACAAAGCAATCGGGATAGCAGCAGAAAACCGCTAAGCGTGCACTCATCTGTCACTTGTTTCCAACTTCTCTTTCATCTCTCCTGAGGCTGGAATGTCTAAGAAGCCAGCCTTAGGAATCAGAGTCCTGAGCTCCAACCTTGACTTTGCTATTTGCTAGCTCTGCCCCATCACTTATGTTTTCTGAACCCCATTTCCTTATTGACAAAGTGGACAGATTAATATCCACCCCATGGAATGATCGCAAGTACTAAGTCACCTACTACATGAGAAAGTGCTCTGGAGAGTGTCCACTTACAAGTTCAGGAGACCCAGCCCAAACACCTTGGGCAAGGTGGGAATGTGTCCACTCACAAACTGAGAACAGGACTTCAGGTATGGCTGTATCCAGGGGCTTCACTACTGCCACCAGGTCTACCTTTATTCTGCTTCCTTCTGTATTGGCCTGATCTTTGGGTAGGCTCTCCCTCCGTGGGTGCTATGGTTTAGATATGGCTTCCCCCAAGGAAGCTTGGCCACTGGTGTGCCAGTGCTAAGGTGGCGGACCTTCCAGAGTTAGTAGGAGGTCCTTAGGGCAATTAACGGCATGCCCTCAGAAAGGCTGGTGGGACTCCAGTTCCTCTCTGGCCTCCTGTCCTGTGGTGTGATCCCTTGCTCTTTCCCAAGTCACCCATCAGAAGGTCCTCACCAGGCACACCCTGCTCTTAGATCTCCAATACTGTGACCCGAAAAAAGCATGTTTGCTGTGGAATGTGGCCTGTCTCAGGCATTTCTTTGCACTAACAAAAAGAGACGACTATAGCGTGGCTGCAGTTAACTCCAGGGTCAAGTTCAGCGGGAAAGAGAGGATGCATCCCTTCCAAGAGTCCCAGCCAAGGTGTCACAGCGGCTCATCTGCTCTGGATTCATCGCTCCCAGACCAATTCAAGGCTGCGCTTGGTCCTGCCTAAGCTGCCAGCCTACCTGTTGCAGTCAACACCACCTATTGGGCTGAAAGAGAAGTGATTTCTCAAAAGGAAACTGGGGTACCACTACCACAAAAGGGGGAATGGACATTGTAAAGGTGAGGGTGAGGAACAAACACAAATTGTCCTTAGAATGCCATGAGAATGAAAGCAGACATGGACTTGAACACCGGTCCCGGGTATCAGAATGGAGGGGTGCTTTCCTTAAAGAGGTAAACTTAGGCTGACGGAGGAAAGTGCGACTTGAGACAGCAGCTGTGAACTTACATACACTCCCTTCAAGAGTCGAATGAAAATGCATTTTTTTTTTCAGCTGGATGAAAGATTCATAATGAGAAAGCAGCATGTTATGGGGGGGGGGGTGGCACCTGCAACTCAGGGCCCAGCAGAACGTGGTGCTGTGAGGGTGGGACGCAGGGAGCGAGGGGCAGAGGGTGGGGCAGCAGGGGCGGGGCCTCGGGGGCCCAGGAAGTCTCCTCCCCTGGAGTGGCTGCCCCTGGCCCAGCTCCTCAGCTTGCGTTCACCCTGCCAGCCCCAGGCTCCTAAACCTGGTTGTCCATCTCTAGGTCTTCAATAAAATAATTCTAGATGGGATTCAAAGGTCTGGAGATTTGTTTGTTTATTTATTTGTTTGAAAAGTGATTGCATTCTGGGCCAGCACTGTAGCATAGCAGGTAAAGCCACCACCTGCAGTGCCGGCATCCAGTATGGGCACCGGTTCAAATCCCGGCTGCTCCACTTCTGATCCAGCTCTCTGCTATGGCCTGGGAAAGCAGTGGAAGATGGCCCAAGTCCTTGGGCCCCTGCACCCACGTGGGAGACCCAGAAGAAGCTCCTGGCTCCTGGCTTTGGATCAGTGTTGTTCCGGCCTTAGCAGCCAACTAGGGAGTGAACCAGTGCATGGAAGATCTCTCTCTCTCTCTCTCTCTCTCTCTCTCTCTCTCCTCTCTGTGTAACTCTGACTTTCAAATAAATAAATAAATCTTAAAAAAAAAAGATTGCTGTCATTTTTTGAGAGGAAGGGCGAGAGACAGACAGAGCTCCCTAGCCCCGGGTTCCCTCCCCACATGCCCGCAGTGCCCCAGGGCTTGGGGATCGAATCTAGGAACAAGGAACTCCATCCAGGTCTCCCATACGATGGCATGGACCCCACTGCCAGAGCCATCCACTGCTGCCTCCCAAGGTCTGCATTAGCAGGAAGCTGGAGCCAGGAGCAGGACCCCGGAATTGAACCAAGACACTCAGATGCGGGATGCAGGTATGTTCACTGGTGTCTTAACTACTAGACTGAACACCTTCCCGCTTTGTTTTCTTTTTAATTAATACATAATCATTGCACAGATCTGGAGGTGCAGCATGGGAATTCAACCTGTGTATCTAATGTGTAATGATCAAATCAGGGTAATTAGCATCTCTGTTGCCTCAAACACTTCTTGATTCTTTGTGTTAGGCACCATCAAACTCCTCCTCTCTTAGTTCTTTGGAAAATATACAAGGATACTTCAAAAAGTTTGCAAAGATGAATTAAAAGCTCAGTTTATTTTGGTGCAAAAAATGCTGAAATCCATGCAAACTTGTTTCTTAGTAGGCATTTTCCATGAACTTTTGGGGACTTTCATGAACTTTTTTGGATTTCAACAGTTTTTCACCACAATAAATGTCTTTTTGAAAAAGATTTATTTTTTTTTATTTAAAGATAGAGTAACATAGAAAGAGAGAGAGGGAGAGAGAGCTCGCTCACTCTCTCTTGCATCCACTGGCTCACTTCTCAAATGAATTTAACAGCCAGGGTTGAGTCAGGTTGAAACCAGGAGCCAGGAACTGTATCTGGATCTTCCACATGGCTCGCAGGTTCACAAGTACTTGGACCATCACCTACTGCTTTCCCAGGCACATTAGCAGGAAGCTGGATCGGAAACAGAGCAGCCGGGACTTTAACCAGCACCCTGGCACAGGATGCTGGCATCCCAGGCGAAGGCTTAACCCGCTGGGCCACAACATCTGCCCCTGAATCTATCCTTTCATTCCATTTGCCACGAACTTTCTGAAGTCTCCTGGCATTTCAACAAGCTTTTCTGCGACCTGAGCTGGTATCTGGGGTCTCCCGGGTCCCTGGGGCTCTCTCCCTAACTCAACAGCCCACCCTGTGACTGGCTGTATCTGCTGCCACTGCCGTCTCCCTCTTCCAAATGTGAACCCTTAAAGGGCTGGGGCTCATGTGGCTTTGAGTTCGCGGTGCACAACAGCGGGCTGGGCATGGAATGCGCAGCTCTCAGTGAGCATTTGTTGAAGGAATGCAGCAGGAGCGCCAGGCTAGCAGGCAAGCTGCCTTTTCCCAAGTGGGCATTTCCAGAGAAGAAAGACTGCTATTTCTGGAAACGACTGCTGCGACTGGGAAAAGTTCATGGTTGCAAAAGAAGAAAGGACTCGGGGAGAGACTGCTCCCCCAGAACACACTGCCTTTGCAAAGGCTCCTCCATCTCTTAAGTAGTAGCAATGACAACAAGATCGGCAGTGGTGGTGCTGTCCCTGTCACCATTCGCGGCAGAATAATGTCATCATTTCTAAGTGCCAGGCTCTAGGCTCCCACACTGCATGCGGTGATCTCCTATGATCTTGACAAGCAATCTCGTGGGACGGTGAGCGTCATGTGCCCATTTCCCAGACACCGCAAGGGTGGCACGAGGACTGAGGTCGCTGGTGCAGCGTGCAGTTAAGCGGTGGTGAGGCTGGGGCTCTGCAGCCCGAGCGTACAGTCATCAGTGCACCTGCGTGCACCTCCCAAAAGTGCGGAAAAAACATCACTCCCAGCTGCCAGGGGCTCATATCCACCTTCAACATGGGTCAGCAAAAATGAACCCAGGGCTGAAGAAATCAGGGAAAAACGCAACACAGAGCCCCATTGTACACCTCTGCAGATTCTGCTCTGGCTCGAGTTTGTTCCCCCGCTGCGTGCCAAAGGTCACCGGTTACGTCTGGCTGGAGCCCATGAAGTCACGAAAAGGAAGACTTGGCAGAGAAGTAAGTGATGGGGAAGGTGGGGCTGGTGGGGGCAGAGGAAGAGGGGGAGGCGGCGGCGGCGGCAGAGGCGGCCAGGCAATTCAGCAAGGGACAGTCCGGCTGGCTCTGCCTGCCTAACCCAGCCCAGTGACCTCCCCTCGAGCTGACCACTCCCCTCGGCGGGCTGCCCTGGGCTCCCACAAACAGCCCCGGCTCCCAGGAGTCAGCCTCGTTCCCGTGTCCAGCTGGGTGCTGCTCCCCACTTTTCAGGCGGACAATCTCTCTTGGACGAGCCAGAAAGGTGGGTGCCAGGTTGAAGTCCGTTGTCTGTCCAGAGAGTGCGTGTTAAGAGTCGGGAGCTGAGTGAAGCAGCAGGACTCCGCTTGGCCGAGGGGCTGCTCCTTTTCCGGAGAGAGAGAGGTGCACTTAGGGCAGGGGCCGGCCGCTCTGGAGGGGGTGAGTGGGGGCCTCGCGGGGCGGGGAGGAAGGCAGGGAGGTGGGGGGCGGTGGGAGGAGGCAGAGACGGCTTCACCTTTGGACCTGCACAGGCCAGCCCAGGAGGACTTCAGTGTGAGGAAGGCTGCCTCCCTGGGTGCTGCGGGGTCCGGGTGTGGGAGTGACCAGGGAGGAGCAGCTATGTCACAAAGGCGCTGCATAGGGACGGCACGGAGCCCGAGCCTGGGCAGCTCCCCCTCACCGCCAGGCCCCGTGTAGGAGCTCAGGAGGGTGGCAATGAGCTGGGAAGGAGGCGGAGGCTTGGTGGCCTCCTTCGATTCAGGACGAGGGCTCCCGTCCCCCTTCTCAGATGACCCTCTCCCCTCCTTTAGCCTCGTGCACAAAGCTGGCCTTCCAGAAGCCACCTGGAGGCTCACAGCTCGAACTGGGTGGGAGACCGTGGGCGAAGGAGGAGCTGCTGGCAGGTGGCTTCCAGGGAGGGAAGAGTTCAGAGTTTACCTGCGTTTGAAAACTAATTTGGTTTTAAAGTTTTGTTTTCTGAAAGGCAGAATGTCTCTCTCTCTCTCTCTCTCTCTCACACACACACACACACACACACACACACTCACACACACACACAGATTTTCCAGCTGCTGGTTTATTCCCCAACTGCCAGCAACAGTTGAGACAGGGGCCAGGCTGAAGCCAGGAGGCAGGAACTCCATCCAGGTCTCCCACTTGGCTGGCAGGGACCCAAGTATCTCAGCCGTCACCTGCCGCCTCCCAGGGTGCAAGAGCAGAAAGCCGGAGTGGACGCAGAGGCAGGACGCAAACCCAGGCTCTCTGATGGGAGAAGCGAGTGTCCAACGCGGCGGCTTAACTGCTGCGCCCCAGCGCCGGCCCTTGTGTTTGCTTCAAGAGAAAAACATCTCTGTGCAATGTCTCAAGCATTCTTGGAAAAGAAAGCGCAGTGACACAGCCCAGACTGTCTGTGTGCCAGGCTTTTAAGGAAGAACTTTGCAAGCAGCATAGCCCTCCCGTGTGGCAGGACAGCCACAGCGGGTGGGGGCTGGGTCTCTGCTGATGGACAGCTCGAGGCCGCGGCCAGCAGGGTTGTCCCTCTCCTCCCCGGCCACTCCCCAGACATGCGGTAGTGGGCCCACGGCAGGCCATGTCAGGGGCGGCTCACTCCAGGTCCCTCTCTCCACCTCTCCTTCTTCCTTTCCGGCTGCTCCTTCCTCCTGCTGCCCTGGCTTCCCTCGCATTGCCCTGCTGAGGGTCCCGGAATCTCTCTCTCTCAGCAGCATCTCTGATGGCAAACAGCTGCTACTTGCCAAGAACTTTCCAGGAGGGGCTCTGTGTAAGTGCCCCAGCGGACAGCCACGTGCCGTGGGACTGAAACCTTGGGCTTAGAGCAGAAGTCACCCTTTCAAATCCTGCCCTCAGGTGCTTAGTGAACGTGGAACTTGGGCCAGGACACCTGCTGCTCTGTGCCTCAGTTTCTTGCACCTTAGAATGGGGCTAAGAATGGCACCTACCGTGCAGGGTTCTTGCGAGGACTGACACGTGCAAAGTGCTCCCAACAGGGCCTGGCACGTATGTGTTCCCCAGCTGTCAGCAGTTCCAAGTGTCTCCTTTAAGCCCCACGCCAGGCTCGAAGGGAAGTCACGGTAGCCCTATGTGCAGATGAGAACACTGAGGCTTGGCGAGGAAGCAGGCCACTCTATAAAAATAACAATCACAGTGAACCCTAGAGAGACAGGGCAGAGACAGGCTTTAGACGCAGGAGGAGAGTGCCAGCATCCATTCCTTACATCACCACACTAAGCTGCCTTTCTTTCTTTAAAAAAAAAATATTTAATTTATTTGAAAGAGTTACCGAGAGAGAGGTCTTCCACCCACTGATATACTCCCCAGATGGTACAACAGCCAGGCAGGGCCGGGCCAGGCAGAAGCCAGGAGCCAAGAGCTTCATCCGGGTCTCCCATGAGGGTAGCAGGGGTCCAACATTTGCGCCACCCTCCGCTGCTTTTCCCAGGCCACAAGCAGAGAGCTGGGCTGGAAATGGAGCAGCTGGGACATGAACTGCAGTCCATATGGGATGCTGGCGTTGCAGGCGGAGGCTTTACCCACTATGCCATAATGCTAGCCTCACTAAGTTTCCTTTCTGTAATGGCTATGTGAGAAATAAATACAGTAGCCCCTGGTATTCAAAGAGGACAGGTTCCAGGGCCTGCCCCCCCAACACACACACTTGAGTACCAAAATCTTCAATTCCCTTATGTAAAATGGCACAGTATGTTCATATAGTGGATGTACACACCATCCCACCCCACACCCTATATATTTTAGGTCATTCCTAGATTACTTTTAATGCCTAATACAATGCAAATGCTATGCTATGTTGAGTTTTTTTTTTTTTAAATATTTATTTATTTATCCGAAAGGCAGAGTTTCAGAGACAGAGGTGAGAAAGAAAGAGAGAGAGAAAGAGAGAGAGAGAGAGGTCCTCCATTCGCTGGTTCACTTCCCAATTGGCCACAACGTCCAGAGCTAGGCTACTATGAAATCAGGAGCTAGGAGTTTCTTCCAAGTCTCCCATGTGGGTGCAGGGGCCCAAGGACTTGGGCCATCTTCCACTGCTTTCCCAGGCCATAGCAGAGAGCTGGATTGGAAGTAGAGCAGCTGGGATTTGAACCAGTGCCCATATGGGATGCTGGCACTGCAGGTGGCGGCTTTACCCACTATGCCACAGCGCCAACCCCGTGATGTTGAGTTGTTACACTGCACTGGTCATGGGATGATGATAAGAAAAAAATCTGTATGTGTTCAGTAAAGGTACAATTTTTTAAAAAAGATTTATTTATTAATTTAAAGGCAGAGTTATATATAGAGAAGGAGATACACAGAGAGAAAGAACTTCCATCTGTTGTTTCACTCCCCAAATAGTCACAATGGCCAAGGCTGGGCCAGACTTGAAGCCAGAAGTCAAGAACTCCATCTGGGTCTCCCACGTGGATGGCAGGGGCCTAAGCACTTGGGCCATCTTCCACTGCTTTCCTTGGCACATTAGCAGGGAGCTGGATAGGAACCAGAGCAGACAGGACATGAACCTGCGCTCAGATGGGATGCTGGTGTCAGATGGGTGTGCCAGAGGTCAGCTCCCCAGTCTCTTTAAAATGTTTTTGAGGCCAGTGCTGTGGTGTAGCAGGTAAAGCCATCGGTGATGCCAGAATCCCATATGGGTACCGGTTCAAGTTCTGGCTGCTCCACTTCCAAACCTACTCTCTGCTATGGCCTGGGAAAGCAGTGGAAGATGGCCGAAGTCCTTGGGCCCTGCACCCACATGGGAGACCCGGAATAAGCTCCTGGCTTCTGATCGGCTCAGCTCCGGCTGTTGTGGCCATTTGGGGAGTGAACCAGTGGATGGAATACTTCTCTCTCTCTGCCTCTGCCTCTCTGTAACTCTGCCTTTCAAATAAATAAGTCTTTAAAAACATACGTATTTTCCTTCCATAGTTGGGTAAGTCACCCAACTATGCTAGAGTGGCACCCCCAGGCACAGAGAGCCCTTAAGTAGGAGTCCTTGGAAAACAACTCCCGGAGTCTGTTTTTCTAAACGGCTCCAACTCTGTGGTTGGAGAAGGCCCTTGAAAATGAAGCTGACCTTCCAACCAGCATTAATCCTAGTGAGCAGCCCTAAACATGGGGAAACACGAAGGGTCTTCGCAAAGCTCGTGGAAAGGGGTATTACACAGAAACTACGTGTGGAGTTCAAAAACTGCTTGCCCTAAATAAACTCATCTCTTAATTCGATTTTCCCATGAACTTTCCGAAGTACCCACACGGCCTGGCTTCTAAGATCTGTGTCAGCCCCTCCCATGATCCTCAGTGCTGTGACCAGCCTCACTCCCCAGGAAAGGAGCCCGAATCTGAGCAGGTGCATCACCCCACCAAGTTGCAGGCAGTGTGTGCCCGAGGTGGGATTCAAGTGTGTATTCCATCCCATGATCCCTGGCTCAGCTGCAAAATACTGATGGAGCTTAAAAAAAAAAAAATCAAGCCTGCTGAATGAGACAGTCTTAGGCTCAGGCCTGGGCATCTGATTGAACAGCCAGATTCCGCTGTGCAGCCGCCACAAACACCTGTTAGCGCCATCTACTCCTCCAGTGCCAGATCCAAGTTTTCAGCCGTCTGCCACCACCCCACTGTCTCCTTTCCTGGGCACCCACTGGGTGCAGCCAAGGCTGGAGGGCCTGCACCACTGCCCACCCATGCAGTCTCCCCTGCTGGGACCCCGAGTCACCCCCAGCTCCCTCTGGCTCGCCCCTCCCAGTGCATCCCAAACACACGCCCCCTGTCTTCGCGTTGGGCAGAAGCTGTCATGGTTTTCGGCTCTGATTCCAGCTGCAGCCGCCTAACCTGGGGCCCTCTGTCTGTGTCTGTGTCCATTTCTCTCATTCTCCCTCCCTGGATTACTTCCATTCCCCCTCTCCTGGCCTCCCCAATCCTCATGTCCACTCTGCAGCCTTCTCCCGCCAGAATCAATGAGCTTTGGGGAAAAACAATCTCATCACTCATTTCTCTGCTCAGAAACTCCACCAGCACCACCCCATTTAACAGGCACCCTCCCCAGCATAGCAAACCCTGGCCCTTGGCCCCTGGCTCAGAACTCCCTTCTCAGTCTCAACTCCTGCCTGGTTAGAGAGGTCATGTCGCAGCCACACTGTCTCCCCCAGCCCTCAAACAAACTGTGCCCGTTCACAGTCTGTGAGCGTGTCAGTGCCTGTGACAGCCTTCTGACTGGCCTGGCTATAAAACGACTTACCTATGGAACCCAGTTCAAAAGCCACCTCCTCTGGGAAGCCTTCCTGGAGTGCCCAAGGAAAAGGAGCACTACCTCTTCTCTTGTCCCAGCACAAGGTTCCTCCTTCAACCAAAGGGTTGTGCTGGGACCGTTTGGTGATATCCGTCCATCAGCGAACTCTTCCTGGGCCAGTTACACGTTCTAGGTCTCCTATGGCCAGGGGACAGACCAGACCAGGGGCTGGGGACACCAGGGAATGAAATGTAATTTCTGTCTTCAAGGAGCTTCCAGTCCACTGACTGTAGCAGAGAGCTGGAGGAGCACTTTAGAGGGAAGGCACAATGTGTGCAGAGACCAGGCAGGCAGGGACCCCGGTCTGAGTGCGGGCAGGAGGCAGAAAGAGAGGGGTGGAGAGAGGTGGGAAGGCCAGGAGGAGCTGCCTGGAAGGGCGCGGGGACTCCCCACGCAGCCTGGGACTCCTGCCACGTCAGGCCAGAGACCCCAAGTCGCTCAGGGCCTGTTGAATTTCCTGAGATTGGGTCACAGCACCCAGCACCCGCTGGCTAAGCAAGCTCCCTGGGGGCTGGCGGGGGTTGGCTCTGACCAGGCTGGGTTCCCCGGAGGAGACTGGATGTTGCAAGTGACCAGGCTGGGGGACGCCCCGCAGGTGCTCGACCCCGGCCATGCTGGCGTTGGTGTGCTCCTGCCTGCTCCTGGCGGCCCTCCCAGCGGACACCTGGAGCGGCCCGGCCGCAGTGGAGCTCGGCTCAGACACGGTGGAGCAGATCCGTGACACGCACGCCAAAGTCACGGAGATCTGGCAGGCGCTCACGCAGCAGCGGGCAGCGCAAGGCGAGCCGGCCGGGGCGCTCCACGCCGTCTGCCGGGTGCAGCCGTCGGCCACGCTTGACGCCGCGCAGCCGCGAGTCAGCGGCTTGGTAGTCTTCCGGCAGCTTGGGCCCGGTGCCCAGCTCGAAGCCTTCTTCGACTTGGAGGGCTTCCCGGTCGAGGCCAACCTCTCCAGCCGCGCCATCCACGTGCACCAGTTCGGGGACCTGAGCCAGGGCTGCGACTCCACCGGCGCCCACTACAACCCGCTGGCCGTGCAGCACCCGCAGCACCCGGGAGACTTCGGGAACTTCGCCGTGCGCGACGGCCGCCTCTGGAAGTACCGCTCGGGCCTGGCCGCCTCGCTCGCAGGGCCGCACTCGATCGTGGGCCGCGCCGTGGTGGTGCACGCCGGCGAGGACGACCTGGGCCGCGGCGGCAACGCGGCCAGCGTGGAGAACGGCAACGCGGGCCCCAGGCTGGCCTGTTGCGTGGTGGGCGCCAGCGGGCCCGCGCCCTGGGCGCGCCAGGCGCAGGAGCACGCAGAGCGCAAGAAGCGACGGCGCGAAAGCGAGTGCAAGGCCGCCTAGCAGGCCCTGACGCTCGGCGGGTGCCCGAAAAGTCCGCGCGCCCCGGACGCCCCTCTGCGTTGAAGTTTCTCCCTGGCCGCGGCCTCCCCAGGCCCCCTCCCCCGTGCATGCATAGAAACCCCCTTTCCATCCTGAGTCCTCCCCCCCCCCCCCGCCCGACCCCGCCGCGGGTGCTCTGAGCCCATTCACAATGGAGGCCTCCCTGCGCCCTGAAGTCCGTTCCCTATGCCCCACCCATGCCAGCCCCCACCCCAAGAGCCCTGAGACCCCTCCCTCGGACGCCCTCCTGAGGTTGCCTAGGGCTCCCCCCCCCCCGCTCCGCCTGCCAGCCTGCAACCTGCCCAGCCCCGAGTGTGGGCCCAACCCAGCGTCTTCAGCTGTCTCCCACTCCACGGGGAGCTGCCCCTATGGGGGCCTTGGGAGTGTTTAGCCATCTTTGCCTAACACATTAAAAACGCAGCAATTCAATCCTGCATCCTGGGATCTCCGTCGTTTTGTTTGAGGCTTCAACTTTTTGGCGGGGGGAGGAGGGGCTGCAAACGAAGGTAGTCCCCCAATCTCCACGGGCGACTTTCTCCTCTCCTCCCCAAGCCGGCTAGCCACAGAACCTGGGCTGCATCCCGGGGGGGGGGGGGGAGCCAGTCTCTGGGTTTACCGCAGGCGGTCCAGTGACCATAAGGCTGGAGCCACTGGCCTGGGAGGCAACGGGTCCTGGCTTCTCGCTGTGGGGAGTGCAGCGTCAGGTGCATCCCCAGAGTCAGGGCCCGAGCCTTGTGACTGTGCAGGTTTCAGCGGTGGTGCCCTCGGCAGCCAAAGCTGGGTGCCCGCACCACGCCCTCACCAGGCCCCTCACCAGGACAAGCAATCAAGCAATCTTTTTTTTTTTTTTTTGACAGGCAGAGTCAGACAGTGAGAGAGAGAGAGACAGAGAGAAAGGTCTTCCTTCCATTGGTTCACCCCACAAATGGCCGCCACGGCTGTGCCATGCGCTGCGCCGATCTGAGGCACTGTGCCTCCTCCCGGTCTCCCATGCGGGTGCAGGGCCCAAGCACTTGGGCCATCCTCCACTGCACTCCCAGGCCACAGCAGAGAGCTGGCCTGGAAGAAGGGCAACCGGGACAGAATCCAGTGCCTCGACCGGGACTAGAACCCGGGGTGCCGGCGCCGCAGGCGGAGAATTAGCCTAGTGAGCCGCGGCGCCGGCCCAGGACAAGAAATCTTGACAATGGCACGTGGAAGGGGTGAGGCCCAAGGGCAGGCTCGCTGGGGGCCTGCCCTCCGTCTTCGCACGTGACAATCTGTTGCATAGATGAGGACGCTCTGGCATGGCTGCTTTCCTTTGCTGAAGGAGAGAGAGCACTTTGCAACCTCAGGGGTGGGGGAGTCCCACCTCCTCGCTGTAGCTTTCCCAGCCTGGCTGTGCTAGCAGAAATGGCTGGAGTAGAAAGCCTTGTCTCACCACCAGAGTGCCAGGAGTGAGCCAGAGAGTGGCGGGCAGCAAGCCAGCAAAAGCACAATGAGGCGGCCATGGGTCTGGAGACACTGGGAGTGTCCAGTCTACGTGCAGACTGGGGCGGCCATGGGTGCAGGGGCCACGTCTTCCCACCGTGTTCCCTTCCCCCTCTCTCTTGGGGGGGTATTGCTGGACAAAGGGTTTTCTGGGTGGGAAATGCATGAAACTCCTTCCAAGGCTTTATTAGCCAAGGTGATCAGAGTGGGGAGGCCCCAAATAGCCCCCTTGGACAGGGCCAGGAAGAGTAGTCCTGGGATGTCGGGGGCGGGGCAGCAGCGGGGTGGGGAGGCGGGGTGACCTGCGGATGCCGGCTGCTTTGTTCCGGCTTGTCTGTTTCTCTGTGGCCTCACCGCACGCACGCAGATGCTAACGCCTGCCTTCCTGCCTACCCGCTACTCAGAGGCAGCCCCTAGCTCTCCCAGGCTCTCATAAGGCAGAGTCGGAGTGAACCTCAGCCAGAAACCCATCCCCAGTGGTTATTTTTACCTCTAATGAGAACTAACTTGTTATTTGCAAAGTCTTTCCTTGAACCCAAAGGACAACGGGAGAGAAAGGCTATTGCCTGGTGACTTGGCTCCACCAACTGGTTCCAACTAGTTTGAAATAGTAACTTGAACCTCACAGGTCAGTGCTGGAAGGGAATCAGCCAAGGGGAGTCTCAAAATAGCCTGATCTCAAGTGGACAGGTCTGCCTGTCCCTACAATTAAAAGTTGTGGAAATGAGGCAGCAGTGACAGGAACCCATAGGGAGAGGAGTCAAATGCCAGACGCCCATCCTCTACTCTGCGACCTAAATACAGCTCATCCAGGACCATTCAGAGAGCCACGGACTGGAGCTCCCCCTGCTTCCCTCCTGGCTTAGCTCCTGTCTTCCCTACCCATGGCCCTGAGACTAAACAGAGGGGACCCCGTAGCAGCCCCGTTCCACTGCTGTCCCTGAACGAGAAACGAGATTGGTGTGAAGACAGGCAGGAACAGGAGAGCGCCTCTCAGCTCACTGTCAGGAGTGCATTTAGCTCGGCTCAGGCCAAAAGGCCCACTTGCACCCCAGCTCTGCCATACTTGCAAGCTGTGTGACCTGAACGTGGCACTTAGCATCTCTGAGCTGGGGTTTTCTCCTGTGTACAGCGAGCTCATCACACTGGCCTGTTTTGAAGGCTACATCAGGAGAGGTGAACTCCACGCAGCACACCCACCTACTGAGGATGGAAGAGGTCTCTGTCTACCTTGCACGGTAGTGAGTGTCATATAGCTAGAAGGAATCAAGAGACGGGGAGGCTGACAGCCCTGAGGTTCCTAAGAAGGATGTCTGCTTCCAAGAGTGGCTGGATATGATGAACTCTGTGACGTCAGCCCTTGGGGAGAGGGAACCAAACGAGAAGGGAGGACTGTGGGCCACAAGGCCAACATCTGGTTCTCGGCCCCGACCGCGACAGGTGCCACCGAGGCTGCTCACGGGACCCCACTTGGCCCCTGGAGTCTATTTTTGCTCCTCGCCTCTTCCAGATCTATTTTGCTAATCTCCTTATATTCGCTGTTTTGACTCCCAGCCAGCTTGCTAATCAGTTTGCCTGTTTGACTCACAGGGTTTGCATTTGTCACTGGGACTTAAACACACACTTGTTTTGATTTCTTTTTGTAAAATTAGAAGCGTTTGATGCGATGATTCTACCTAGACACAGCTGGTAAAGTGAGAAGAATGCTCACGTTTGCATAGTTTAAACACAATGTAGATAATAATTAGAAACGCTATCTTTAGATGTTTAGGATAAGCTTTTTCTCAGAATGGCAGGCAAGTTTTTCCAAGCGGTGCTTTTTAGTGCATATGTACAGAAATACCAAAAATGTAAGAAAATAGAGCAAATCAGGAGTGCGCTGGTCAACTCGAAAGATTGCAGGAAATAAACCAACTGATTTTAGATCCTTCTTTTTTTTTTTTGACGGAATGCATAAAGTCTTTACATTCTCTATATTTTTCATGCCCTCCATATGATCAAATAATTTTGGGTGACAGATTGCAACTGCTCCGTTGCTGCAGGACGCAGGGAGTAACGGTCAGCCTCCGTCGGGCCTGCAGTGGGGCTGTGGAAGGGGAACGGTGCAGGTAATAAAGATAATGAATCATCTCCATCAGGAAAATGATCACATTTTTATTTCAGGTAACAAAAGCCATACAGTGATGATGCATGGTCATCATAGAGCCCAAAACAGCAAGGTCTGCGAACGACTACAAGTGACTTCTTCCTTTTCAATAAAGCTATCAAAGACCAGTGAAGCTGTTTTTTTTTTTTTTTTTTTAAGTCAATTGTTTTCAATGTAATACGTTATCACTAGCCATAGCCAAGTGGCCAAACATATTTTTAAGCTCACATAGATCTTACAAAGTCAGACTTCTTAGTCGTATGCACGCTTGCCTACACAGCTGTAGCCATCAGTTTAAATTGCTTCCAGGCCGGATCAACTTGTTTTATTTTGTGTTTTTGTGAGCAGCCGTAATATCAAGAGATGAGCCCTCTTCAGTTTCCTGCTTCTCTTTCTATCTTTCTAATTAGATTCACTTCTGAGCCCTGGATTGCAGCTCTTGGATCTTCACTTTTTTTTTTTTTTTTTTTTTTTTTTTTTTTTTGCCTGTTTGGAAAAATATCTTGGGGAAACAGGAATTTATTACAGCAGTGAGCTGGGGGTGGGGCTCTGACTTTTTGACATCCCGCCTGGAGCCTGGCTGAAGGTGCCCTCTGTCTTTAGGAAGTAGGAGGAGTCTTCCACATGGAAGCTTCAGGAATGGAGGCCGGGGGAGCAGGTGTTCCAAAGGGACCCCTTTCAGAGAGAAGTTGGGTGCCAAGTCACCCATAAGGCTGCAGAAGCACGAAGAAGCCAGGAGGGCTTCCTGTTCACCAGAGGGGCAGAAAAGCAAGAGGTCAAAGATCATGCTGTCGTTGAATTAATTTTTATTTGAGTGGCAGAGAGAGAGAGGGAGAGGAGAGCGCTCCTACCCATTGGTTCGTGCCCTGAATACTTGCAACTGTGAGGCTAGGCTGGGCTCAAAGCCGTGAGCCAGGATTGGAATCCAGGCATTCTGATATGGGATGCAGGCACCTTACCTGCCTTCCTCACCACCGGGCCCAAATGACTGCCTTTTAAGGGATGGGGATGACAGGCAGGAAGCTGGCCTCTGACGTTCCTTACAGGACAGACTACTCGTTTCAGCCCGTGTGATGGACTGCGGTGCAAATACGCCCAGGAGGAGTAACACACTGGATGTGCCTTCTACACGGGAGTAGCTGATTCAAGAGCCCCTTCTGGAAGCGTGCATGGTGGTGGTGGTGGTGTGTGTTCCGGAATGAGGGTACAAACAGGAGCACTGACTGGCAAACCACCCCAACGTAGGTAGAGGTTGCCAGCCAGGGCTGAGCGGAGCCTCCCAGCCCCAGAGCCCTCTGGTAATCGCTGTGGGAGCCACGCAAGGCAGGAGACGATAAGAGGGAAGTGGGCAGGGGAGGTGTGGAAAGAGGAGGCGGGGACGAGAAATGCCGGCTTTACAAACACCGGTCCGTTTCCACAAGGCCTTCATTACAAGCAAGACAAATGCCCCTATGTCAAAATCCACACCTAAGAGCTCGCAGGTCCAGAGCGACCACAAGAAATGCAGAGTGTGCAAACACGCTTTCATTACGAGACCTGTCAGCTCGGGTTCGCTTTCCCAGGCTGCTCTGCATTCGGTCGGCAAGTGAGCTGGAAAAGGAGTGGAAGGACAAACACGCGAGGAGAGGCAATGAGGGCTGGGAACGTCCCACCTCCCACCGACAACAGAAGGCAGTCCCGAGGGAGCCGGGAGGCAGGGAGGGGACACGGCAGCTTAACAGCGGCTCCTTCCTACAACTCCCGACTCATCAGTCACCTGGCATTCTTGCCTTTTAAGGAAGGAAGACCCGGGGGAGGGGGGTGGGACACAGACAACAATT